GTTGCCATCTCTCTTGTTTAAAATAGCGAATAATTGCTTTAAGGTGTCCTGACTGGGATCTTCCCTTCCAGCTCTGATTATAAATATCCCATTTTGCCTTTAAGAGCTGCAGAATAGTGAGGAACTCTGAGGGACAGATCTATGCTTACCCTAATCTTTCTGAAACATCTCCTACTGGCTACTTGTTGGAGAACACTTACTGGACTAGGTTAATCTGAGCCAGTGAGACTTAATTTTGGATCTAAACCACAGTCTGATTCTTGCAAGCATTGTAACTAGGATTCTTAGGCATATAATTCCTGTGTAATACACAAGAGGCCTTGACATCTAACTTCAGTAGTAAGGATTTTGCTGGAAGCAGATCATCTGAAAGTTAACCTACATTGCAGTAAAGTTTAGTTTCATCCCTAAAAACAGAAGCATTTCTGAACCACTGGTAAAAGGAATTAAGGCCAGCTGGACTACTTGGCTTGTTTGATACATTCTGAAGAAGTAACTACTTCTCTCAAGTCATAATGTGGTGTTTAGTCCAAAGGCATGACATAGAAATAAGAAAAAATAAATTTTTTTAAATACATATGAACCATCTAGTTACTGTTTTTAAGGAATTGAATAGTTTTCATTAATACTATAAAGATATATCTGGCAGAAACAGGTTAATATAGCTTTTGAAATACTTCATCTGAAAGTTGGAGGGAGCTTTGACTAACCTGGGAAGTACAAATTAAACCTAGAGACCATTAAGAACCCTGACAGTTAACCTAATTATAATTTTTTTATAAATCTGTTCAGATGGAATGAGTTAACTTTGTCCTTTGTACGTGGTTGTTAGGGTTTGTTCCTTTTTGTGGAACTAAAGCATCTTACTAGTTTGTCAGTTTGGCAAACCTTTCCTTTATGAGATCAGCCAGGGGTTTCACTGTCAAAACACAGCTGACTCTGGGTTGGCAGTGTTAAACATGCCATCCAGGTATTTTAGCTGCAGTTGAATTGTGCACAGCTCTGAATCCCCTTCAGGGCTTTCAGAGTAACTTAATTCTTAGTTTTAAGAATAAAGTGCCTTGCGTGGCTTTTAACACCTCTGTGTGTCTGTTCTGCTCTGCCCTCCCCTCCCCCCAGTTATTTGAGGCTGCTTAAGTGGAGTTAAGTATTGCGTCCTGGAATCTCATCATAACAGGCATAAGTTTTCCCACAGGACAGGCGTGGGTATATTCCTCTTTCAAAACAAGTTTTGCTTCTGGCATTCTTGTTTTGCTGTTGAACCTGTCTGTTCCACAACAGTGGCCAATTAACATATGTTAAGTGGGTGCATCTGTCTGGCTACAGAGAGCTCCATACTTTCAGATCCAGGGCAAGACTCCTACCTGGCACTAGAAGTCAGTTAACAAATAGTTAAGACTTATGGTTCTGTGTCTCAAAATTCCTCTGGTTAAGGCTTTAAATGTAGCCAGCAAGCACATAACACATACTTCAAGTAAGTAAGCAGACACTGTTAGATGATGAGCTCAGTGATTCATCTCTGCTTTCTTGGCATTTAGTCTTATCAGATGAAGTGGCATGCCACAGTAGAACTTAAAGCTGTTTATTCCTTAATGAAGTTCAACAACGAGTAATGTCAGTGCTATAGTTTGCAGGCTGTCATACTGATTCTGTTGGACGAACAGGAGAAAAGTCACTTTTGGGTAATGATCTTGCATGGTAAGTGGTCTAAGACAGCTTCTGGTCAATAAGTTGGAAAAGTCTCAAAACACTTAAGGCAAAGCAAGTTCTGCTGTTTTAGCTTGCACACTGGCACAGCACAGGAGCTGCTTCTGGGTCTGCCAAGATTGTTTTCCTGGGACCTTGCAGACACAATCTGACAAATAGGTGTGTCAAAATCATGTAGATGTGCCTTTAGGAAAGCAACCTGTCAGCCTGTGTACACAACTACATCTCCTCTATTTCACAATCAAGGCTGCAGTGGTATACAAGACTTTCGCAAGGACAAAAATGTTGAAAAAGTTTCATATGTAGCCAAGAATTGAGACAGCATTTTTTTCCCCTGCTGACAGTTCTCTGCCCTGCCCCAGCCCCCTATCCATGCTGAAGTCGGCATCTAATGCTCTGGGACAGAATTACTGTGATTTAGATATGTGGCTGCCTAGGAAAAGAGAGAGAAGAATGGCATGATGAGCAATTTCTTGATTGTGCCCCAACAGAAACAAGGTGACTAGAGAGAAAACCTCCTCTAGGCATGCCTGCTAGGAGGGGCAGCAGCTGTGTATGCAGAATGAAGTAGTGGTCTCTGTCTTGCATGAAAAGGCTTGTTCCTTAAAGTGATTTCCATTTTCTATGTACAAGTACAAGGGATCTTGCATTTTCTCTCTTACCAAGTTTTTTTCAGTGATAAGTACTATAGCCTAAGAAGAATTTCCCACAAGAAACAGCACTGTCTTGTGTTAAGGGTCTAATATGAGTTTGGTTGCCTACCCTTGTCTGCTCCTGGCTCTACACGTAGCCCAGACAAGGTAAGCAAACAGGATATAGACATTTGATGCTTCTGGCTTTTTGTGCCTTTCAACTTCACATTTTCTTGTAAACTCAAACTTGCCCGCACCCCACTGCCTGTTCCACTACCACATGAAGGAGAATGATCATCACACACCTTGTATATTAAATGGGTGTTTTGTGTTGGAACTCTTGACAAGACTATATTGTTATTACTACCTGAATAGTAATACTGTTGTTGTTACTGCTACTTGAATAGTATTTCTTTAAGACTTGCAAGGCAAGACTGTCTTGCTTCCTTGCTCCATGTCTACACAGGAATAATGCCATCATAAGAGGAAAGGAGAAATACCCTTAGGTGAATACGCCAAGGCTTTGGGGACTTTACTCTTTAAGCTTATCAACTGCAGCTATCCTGAAGTATGGTACATGAGTTTCCCCTATATATCCATAAAAGAGAAATCATTTATGTGGTTATTTTCACCTGAAACTTAGAGTGGCTTGCTTGCCACATCCTTTTTTACATGAAAGTATGACAAATGTTTCTAAATGGTATCACTGAAGTTGTATCAGTTAGGAGACTTTTTTCACTCCTGATCAAGTTTTTACATATAGTTCATTTGTTCTGAAACCACTGCATGCCTCAGGCAGATAAAAACAGTGATGGCCTTTAGAATTACCATATCTAAAGGTAAAATAGCTGACAGTTTGAAAATTGGTATTTGAGGTAGCATATACTGTTTTCACAGGGCTCCTGCTTCTTTTTTTTTCATTGTTCAACTTCCAGACACTCAAGTGAATTGAGTGTGTTACTATACTAAAAGGGTTCACAGCTTTCACGCAGTTGTAGCTTTCTATAAAGCTATTAAAGAAAGGTGGTAAAAAAACTTCAGGCTTTAGATTTAGAGCTCAAACAGGAAAAAGTTTATGCAACATAGGTGGTTCTTTTATAGCTCTGTACATGACATCTAATGATTTTACATTAGAATTAGTTACTTAACTGATATGTCCTAATTGCATTGCCCCACAGTAATGAACATCCACAAGTGAAACTACTGGGAAATAAAATGATGATCCTTCATCTTGGATTTCTGGGAATCAAGTAATTCCTAAAGCTCCAAGCCTGATTTACAATTACAAGCAGACACATCATCTTCTGCTTTATATACAGGGACTTCATTTGTCAGTCTTATGGGCCACAACTTGAATCACCGAGTCTTAGGCTTCCCTGGAAGAGGGAGGAAATAGCACACCATGTTGTGCAAAAACAGCAGTGGTAAGTACAAGCTGCTGAGTGGCAGTATTTTTAAAACACAAGTCTGGTGATTTTTTTAATAGCCTTCCACATTTACCTTGGGGAAAAATGTGTAAGATCTTGTCAGACAGCAGCTCACAGAAGAATCTAAGTCGTAAGGCCTTGTTCTCTCTCAAGGCAAGGTCAGTCTTGAAGTTAGGTTGTTCAGGGTCACATCCTCTTAAGTAAGTAGGATGTATGCTTACAGAATAAATATTGCTTATAAAAAGTATGTTTTATATATGAATTTTATTACTTTAAAAATTATTTAAAGGTTGGTGTTATCAAACTTGGTGTGGAAAGTCTTATTAGCAGAAATCATCCATTTCCTGTTCCGATCCTTGACTGATGGTTGCTGTGCTTTTAAGAGGAATAAGACTGATCAAAGATAGGAACTGAGATTAACTGTTACAGAACTTTATAGAATGATGACAGTGGTAAAAAAAAAATACATGAAGGCTTGTAGGTTTCAGAAATTAGTTGTTCAGTATCTTGTCACATTTCAATGTTCTGTCTTAACTCAGACACTTCCCAGTTTGCTCATGCTGAAAGTTATGATGCTCTTTCCGAGACTGAATTACTTGTTTTTAAAAAAAAAAAAAGCTTGAGGCTCTTGGCCTGTTTCTTAAAACGGTAACATTTTCCTTCCTCCAGAGGATATCAAAACACTTGAGTTAAGAAATAAAAATCTGTAATATAATATTTTCTGTTGTTGCAGACTTGTCTGTTTAAAAAAAAATTAAGAACCAGCTTGACAAATAACTTATTGTTTCAAATGTTTCTTAGATGGCTGTTATCATATCATAGCACTTCTCAGACTTCCAAACTTTACTCCCTTCTAGGTAACTTTAAGCTTGCCATCTGTAGATACCTTCTTTTGATAAGGTGAAGGGAAGCTGTGAGAAGCTCTGAGAACCTGTGCTGGCACAATCATAATGTGTTGCTGTATTTGGGAAAGGTGTAATTAATCATATGATAACCTACAGTGCAGCACTTTCCCAGTTTACTTTCAAAGCTCTGCTCTCCCAGTGATTCTCCCAGAGTCCTTGTTCTTGAAAAACATAGTGATTTTCATTTATGGTTGCAAACAGCTATTTGAGCAGTGTAAACTCTTTGAAGGGTTAGCCTCTCTGCTTGAGGGACTTCTGATTAAGGGCACCAAATATCTCAGAATGGTATTAGCTCTTTACCACTAAAACATTCATTTTTTAAATGTAAATGGTGATAAGCAGGTAGTGTGTGTTGTATCTTTTATTCTGGAAATAGTTAAAGTAAGGATTGTTTAGAGCAGCAGGTTGTTATGACCTTTTTTCAGGTACAGTTTAAAAAGTTGAGATATTTAGTACAGCTTCTTTCCAGGCTGTCTCTTGAAATCAGGCCACAGGGATTACAAAACTTTCCACCAATGCAGAATAAGTCTCTTCTGGGAACTGTCCAAATGTGTCACCTGCACAGTGACTGATGCAGTTCTTCATACATTATTTGATCCTAACAGTGCCAAAATAAGAGGAAAAAATATTTCAGACAATGGTAAAATTATGCAGTGTTTAAAAGTGAATTTATGTATAATTTAATAAAGTGAAATAAACCAGCTATACAAGTTGCTAGCTGTATTTTAAAACATTTACAAACAAAAATCCAAATAAGGCAAAAACCCACTACCCTGGCACATGAATGAGGTTCTCCAGTGACATTCACCAGTGCTATGTAATTAACAGAACCCTTTGGCAGAGTTCTTGCACTTAGTGTTGCCATGCTGGGTTCAGATCACAGCCTCACTGAGAAGATACAGCCCTCTTTACCAAGGGAGTTGCTGAATTGACACTTTATTCCCCCATGCTAGGTCTGCCAAAATGAACAGACAACATCTTTTGCTAGTCTAACTTACTTGTAGCTGTTCCTTAATCCTTTTCACTAATCACTCAAAATCAGTTTTGAGGACCAGAATACTTAGAGATGTTAACTTTCACTAAAATAACTGGCTTCAGCAGGTGACGTCTGTCCCCAGCTTAAAGAACAACTTTGTCTCCAGTCAACTAATTAAACCAAAAGCAAGTTAACTGAACTCAGAAATGTGTATGGGAGGGGAAAAGAGCTAGAAACACTAGATCAGTGAGATGCAGCTTTTTTTATTTTCTAGTATTCATAGGAAGGTGTGTAGAGTTCTTGTCACACAATTTGTCTAGCAGATAGGAAGTAGCATCTGGAAATGGGAGATGAGTATCTTGCACTCCAAAAGATATTTCAAAATGCCTAACTGAAAATCCTTCAGATGGATGTAACTGAAATACAGGGTTCTGAGACGTAATATTTAAGCTGCCTTTGAGATGCAGAATGACATTTCTGGTTAACTCTTAAGGACCAGAAGGAGTATGTCCTAATACTTACCAGTGATTGCTATGTCAGAGCAGATGCTTTAAGTTTTTGTGGCTGTTGCTTCTGAACAGTTTGCTTAATGATTAGCAAAGGGGAAGAAAACAACCACCAGCACCATCTTTAAAGGGTCTTGGAGACAAAGATCACTTTTAAATTTTAGAAAAGGTCACTGACCATCAACATACAATAATAATGAAAGGAAATGGTTAACTAGTTAACTTCTGTCTGGCTAGTGTCCAGAATGAATATATTAAGGTATTTTGGCTGCAGTACACTCTTGGGAACGCAGATCTATAGCTAAAAGCTCTGCAGCAATAACTATCCCTACATATATTAACTTCTCAGTTACAGTAATTAGACTCAACAGTTTTCCTTTCAGTCATTAGAAAGAACAGCTCATAGGACAAGGTCCTGTGCAGCCTGCTGTAGGTGACCCTGCTTTGGCAGGGCGGTTGGACTAGATGATTCACAGAGGTCCCTTCCAACCCCTAACAATTCTGTGATTCAGAAACCTTTAAAACAAACTTCCATGACAAATGCAAATAATTAAAACACTGATAAGAAATAACTAAGATGATAGAGTGTGTTTTATGTACTATCTCAAAATGATGTCTTTTGCTCATTAACAGAAATGGTTGAGCATCTTTGGGTGTCACATCCATCTGAGGGGGAAAAAGGTGGTGGCAAGGTGTGGAGTGCTCTAAAGACCTTGACTTTTAACTGAAAATACCACAGACCTAACAGGTTAGGGCCAGGTCAGTAACTGATCTGGGAATATCAGTAAGAAGTCCAAGGTGGCATACTAAAAGTTAACCTTGATAGCATGGTAATCCATCTACCTGCAGTGCATCATCTGCAGCTGAAAAGAGAGACTTTAATTTCTGACCTTGTAAAAAGCCACCAGGTTTGTTTAATGCAGAAGCACATAGCATCAGTTTGAAATACATGCAGGTATACCTGCAACCTTAACTATTCCACCAGTCTCCAGCATAAAAACAAGTGTCTTTTCCCAGGAAGTAAAGAATTACATATTTGAAGCTTATCTTACCTTTTTTGATACTGAAGATTGCACTTTCCTAAAAGCTTCTTCGAAGTGTTTTTGGGAAATCTTGATTTCTCCTTAAAGAACAAAGCATAATTAATTACTAAAGTTGCAGGCAAGTGACAATCAAGTGATTGTTGCTTGTATTTCAAGGCAGCATTCATGAAACCTAACTAACTGCATGTGCTAGTCAGCTGGATGAGAACCTAATTCTGTAGTGTTATGAACACCTGAACTCTTGTATTTTATGTAGCCTCCTCTGTGATCTTAGGCAAGATCTTAATCCCTCTATCCCTTGCACATTAAGCCAAAGAATACTTACTTGTTTCAGAAAGTTATTTTAGGTATTACTGTTTCCACCTGCAGATTGAGAATTTTGTTCTTGGAGATGGTGAGTTAATTGCAGCTTGCATCAAATCTAGTTAGAATTCAAGTCCCTTAACCCTTCTGGAAGTTAATGCCTCAAGTCCTACTGCTTCTAGTTGTGGGCTTTATTTTCTATACACATTTAATATTAAGCTTCCATATAGAGTGTATGGAAGGAGAAAACAGCATTCATCAGCTAGGAAGATCAGTATCATTAAGGACACAGTTATCAGAAAAAGTCAAGGTGAAACAGTCTGTGATACTAATGGAAGAGTATTAGCTATGGCTAGGTATAAGCATACTTTTACCTACTGCTAGGTAAAGTAGTTTACCTCCTACTGAAGGTAGGCAGGCTACTTCATGCTTATTGTGAGATAAAAGTAGGCACAATGCTTGATACTGTGGAGAATTTAGCTGTCAGTAATCTATACCTTAGCTACTTACATTAACATAGTTTGCTTTGATTTCTGATGACAAAACCATTTAGTCTGAAAAAGTAGGTATGAATGTTTTATTAAAAATTATATTGATGAATGATAAAATAATGAAGTATATCAACAAGTATAATCTCTTTAAAGTAAGAATGAGTACTTAAAACACCAAATATGAAATTGTTTTTTTTCCTGTTTACATAGATGAGTGAAGGATAGTTGGTTCCTTTTCCTCTTAATTTTAAAGTATCAAACAAGGACTAGATCTTGCTTTTCAAATTCAGCTGGAAAGATACGAAACTTTAATCTCACTTGTTAAACCACACTCAGTCTTAACTGCTGTAACAAGAAGTCTCATAGACTCTTTGCATATGAAGATCAGATTTACAGACTATGCAGGTGATGTGGGGTCACTGGCTATCTTTTAAAAAATATAGAGAGGGACACTCAGGGATAAGGTCACAGTTTAGAAGGTCAGTGAATTCTCTCCATTTGTCTTTGCAGCTGAAAGTGTCAAGAGATTCTCATACTCTATCCAGTCTTTGTAACTAGATCTATTTGAAGTAAGTGTAGAGGAAGTATTAAACTAAAATAGGTCAGTTAGGATGTTAACAGTAAGTCACCAGGACCAGATGGTGTTCACCCAAAGGTTCTGAAGGAACTTATCTATGAAACTGCAGAACTGCTGGCTAAATCTTGTAACTTCTTGTTATAGCCACCAGAGGACTGGTAAACTCCAAAGAATTAGAGGAAAGATCCTTTGGTGGTCTGAAAGCTGATTCAAGGACATGAAACAGAGCAGGCTTAATGGTCACTCTTCAGGAATAGGGAACAGGCAGCAGTAGGGTCCCACTCTGGAATTGGTGCTGATATCAGTTTTATGCTGCGTGTTCATCAGTGGTTTGGAAAAGGGAGCCAGAAGTAGAACCTTCTAAGTCTGCAAATGATACTAAACTCCTGTGGGCAGTCAAATGATGAGCAACTCCAGAGGAACCTCATAAAACTGAAAATCTGCCCGATCTTTCTTAGGATTCCCCTCCTTCCTCCCCCAGACAAACTGCAGTATCGGGCAGTGACTACCATGATCAGCTCTCCTAGGACTGTTTGATTTGGAACTAGAATTTATGGATTCTTATAAGAAATATCACAAAATGGATACCTTTCCATTTCACTGTAAAAAGTCCCTTCTGGCAAACCACTGTTGAATGTTTAAAAAAACCCCTCCCATCTCTGAATTTATTCCAGAGAGAAGATACTGGGTATAACAAGGAAGTTGCACCAGAATTTCTACTGAACAGAAAGGAGCAGCACTGATCTCAGCCAGATGATTCCAAAGTACTGACTGATGAGGACACAGCACGCGTCTGCAGTCATGTACAGGATGTGGGAGGGGAGTCAGTCACACATGTCCTGTGGTGACACTGAAGGAAGAAATTCTCTGGTCTCTGTACACACCCCACCCTTCTGAAGATATAAATGAACAAGGTCTCAAATCAGAAACCACCTTACATGCTTTCATGCCAGCCAGGGCTGACATCTTGGAAATCCAAACCCCAAGACATCCCAAACAAGTAGCTGCTATAAACATGCAGATCAAACTACGCATATATTATTGACTTGCTGGCTGCCAACACATTCATACAATAAGTGCTCAGGCTGCAATCTTAAATGTGAAGGCTGAATTCAAGTGATGAACAGCTTTGAATAAAGCCTGCTGTATTCTGGATAATTATAGAAACAGGATAAATTCAGAAATTTCCATCAAGAATTTTTTCCATCTACAGCAAGCAAAAGGGGTAACCCAAGTCATACCAGTGAACGTTTTGGTAGTTTCTTCTTCCCCCATGAACACACTAGTTCCCTCAAAACAAGAAATGCAAACATTCTGCCCTGTTAACCTACTGTTGTTAAAAACCAGATGAGACTGGATATGTACTAGATCAAAAAGAATAATTCAAAGCCATTAAAATTCCAGTGTGGTTCTTAGAAATCAGAGACAATTACAAGCCTAATATATTTTCCAAGGACAATCTGAAAAGTCACAGTTCCATCCTAGCTTTGCATTTTGACTTGAGGTTAAAATAACAAACAAAATTACTGGGAAAAATCTAGATACACATACATTTTACATAAAGGTTTCAATTTCCAATTACATTTTCCTATCTGCACAGAAAAAATAATAATTTAAAGAACAGTAAAATATAACTTAAAAGTGGAGAGAGATATGGAAAGGGCAGACATTGTATTTGAAACAATTTAGAACCCTGTCGAAGTCCTGTCAAGAGCCACTGAGGAGCTGAACACCTAACATCAAAACTGGCACTCAGATTTTCCTAGTGCCATCACTACTAGACGCATGTATTGTTACACAATACAGTTGTGTGCCATAGGTATGTGATCAGTAAGCACGCAGTTACAACTGTAATTATACTGACTTGTAGATTTGAGTAATTTTTCATACTGATATGGAAATTTGGCAAAGATGTATTCAGTCTAATATATAAGTTGTCAGTTTATACAACCATTTAACATCAGCTTTTCTTCACGGTTACAAGGTTCAGCTATTTTAGAGAAAAAAAAAATTATGCTGAACTCCAGCATAACCATTTTTTCCCCTACACCTACTTCAAACATGCTTATGTGTTCTTGAAACAAATCTGACTTAATTTTTGTTTGGCTTAGAAGTCCTCAATCATTTATGTACAGCACAGACACCTTTATGATTGTCTTGAACTACCCTAAATACTTTACATTCCATTTATCTTCTCACTGTTCAGTTAAGATTTTTGTAAAGCTTTCTTACCTTTCCTGCTTTTAGTATTCTGCAGGGCCATTTCCTGTCTTAAGGCGCAAATTGAAGCCTCACGCACGAGAGCGGAAAGGTCTGCCCCTCTACAGATACAAACAAAAGGTCGTTGTAGGGTACATTTCTCTCATCCTTTGCTGATAGTATATATAAAGGCAAGACACTACAAATGACGGTATGAGACTGGTTGTGCTGTCATAAAGGTTCATCCTAAGAAGACTGGAAAGAGGTCTGAGGACTACCCAGTGCTGCAACCTTCATTATGGAGTGACCTCCTGCAGATTTTAGCCACACATTAAGATCAAATAAATGAGAAGGAAGGGAAGGCAAAAACCCCATCCAGCATCCTTAGAAATGCCAAAGGATTGATTAATACTGTGCCACTTGGTGGGAACACAGTACATTTTTCTTGTATTGGTCTTAATGAAAGATTCAAATGGAATCACTCCTTATTACAACAGGGAGTTGCCTTGCTCAAAGCTGCATCAACAGTTAACATGCCCTTAAAATAATAGTATTCACAAAACATGGTCAGATCAGTCTTTGTTTCCAGTTTCCAGCTGTTGAACTTTTCACAGCCCTTCAAAGTGGTGCAAGTCACTGAACCAATGAACATTTTCACAATTAACTCCCCATGCTTCGCCTGGGGGTGCAAGGAATACTGCTGTATGTAAAAAAAACAAAACCAAAAACCAGCCAAACAACAACACAAAAAGAAACCACAAAAACCCACCCCACAAACAAAGAAAAAGCAAAATCTGAAAAACAAACACCACCCCCCCAGACAAACCCCCCCACAAGACAGCAAAAAGGGCAGAGAAAGAAAAAGTACTCATCTTTCCCAAGTATAAAACAAAATAACAATCATTACTGGTGATAGCCTCCATTTTTAAGATTCAAAAGCAATACTGTGACAAGCAGCATCTCATAAACTTTGTATTTCATGAACTCCAGAAAATCATTAACTATTAATAAATCATATAATAGATTAAAGCTTTTTGAGGTTTTGTAGAATGCATCTGCAAATGATTGTGACAGATATGGCTATCAAGCTTTCCTAAGAAACACACCTTGGTATTCCCAAAGCACGGCTGAAATAGGCCCTTATTACTTTGTCAAATACATTGCTTTCAACTGTTGACAGAACAAGTTAGTTACGGTTGTTTAACCAGTCTGCTTTCATCATCATTGTATATAGGTACACAACTTTAAGAGGGTTCTCTCATCCTCAGATTATGCAACAATTATAAAATAAAACCAAGCGGCCTCTACTGATCTGTATTTACATCGTGAAGATAACTATTCCAGATGAAAAAGACTTTAGCATCGATATATTCCTACTGACTCCTTTGAAAGAAGCACAAGTGAAAGCAAGAAAAATAGCATAAGGGAAAAGGCTTATAAACCCTGAAAGTTAAGAGATCCTCTTAATAACTACAACATACAGACATTATCATGCATCAAAGGACTGTTGGTGTTGCACATTAAATATTAAAGTCAAAACTAGAAGCTACTCACGTGTAACAATCACAATGTTGACTGTAAGCAATTTCTTCAAGGCTTACATCACTATCTAGTGGAGGCCGGGTGCCATCCTAAAGAATTGGAGATAATAAAAAGAGGAATGTAAGAAAACGTGATTTTTTTTTACACATGCCATCTCTGAAGTGATTAAGTTTCATCAATCAGGAATCATATAGGGGTCTGACAAATCCCCTGAAATATCCAAATATTCATGTGGGTTTTAATCTCAAAGCGACAACAAGGACAACCAGCCTTAAAAACATTTAATTATGAAATGATACGTAATGCTAATTTTTAACGAAGAGATTAGATTTTCTCTAACAAAATGATGGCCAGTCTGTGACAGGGCCATATAACACTGACACTGTTCCGTATGTCAACATGTCTTCAGTAGCTGGTTACACCAACACCACTGCTTAGCCGAACTTCCACTAGTTTTACTATGTGTTGAAATCAAATAGCTAAGCAATAAGGATGTAGATTTAGTCTTATCACCTTTAAGATTGAAGTAATTGTATATCTTCTATGTTCTAGACATACATTTTCAAACTCAGAAGTTTTCTATTCTGGATTTCATAGAAGTTTACATGTACCGTAGACATTCCTGTAGACTTTTTGACACTACTCTTCCATATTATTACTGCTTCCTCCACAAAGATCCCAAAGTGGTTTCTTTTGTTATTATTTTTGCATCTCCAATGGCAAAAAATATTCAACATTATAAACTATATGTGAAACTAGCCAACAAAAATTTTCAAACACTGTAAGCATGGGGAACTCCCTATTACCCTCAGACAACAGTAAAGTAGTATCATGGTAGTACAGAGATCCTAGGTGTCTGTAGTATCAAACAATACCTCAGTTTATACATGAAAGGACCCTTTTTGATACAACTGATATTTGTCTCCCAGAAACTCATTTGACAGAAACGCACAAATTCATATAATTATTTTCTGACTTCTTCAGGTGAACTAATATACCACACACCTACAATCCCTTCGTGGGGGGGGGGTGGAGTATAGTAACTGGCAATTTAAAACTCTTGAATAATCAAGGACTAGGCAGAGTAACAGAGAAATCGTGAATGAATATTTGGTAGAATACCAGTTAGAAAGGGGAAAAAAAAAAAACAAACCCAAAACCAAACAAAACTACAAACAACAAAAAGACAAAGGAACAGCCCAATTTTGAAATATTTTGAAAGGAGAGACTTTAACCTGGAAACAAGGAAGTCTTGTGCAATTTCATATGGGATACTTTAGTGGTTGTTGTACAAGACTGCAAGTCAGAGAGACACCTCTGCTAAAGAGAAACATTTTATCTGTTGCTTTGAGTAGCAACATAGGTTGGGCTTTTTTCGGGTGGGATGATCTGCCCGCTCTGGAGACAAGCTCAGCAGTACGTGTGCAGCAGTGAAGCTTGATACAGCCTGCAGGAATGTAAGTACACTAGCAACTTCACCATGTGGAGACATGTTTCTCTTGCGTAATCAGTATGCAATTTGAAAATGATTGATTTGTACAAGTTAACTGAAATAAAGCTCTTTCACAACAAAGCTTCATCCTACATTTAGGCCATCTGTCTTCCTTCCAATCTGTTCCTCTCCCTGACTCCCTTTTCTACTCATCATGCTGCCTTTGTAACATGCATGTTTTCCCTCAGCGACGATTCCCAGTTTCCACATCCTGTGCATGTATTCCTGGGGGACTTCTGGGAATGCATACTGTCACCCAGAAGCCACTCACAGCTGCATCAAACATTTTGTTTTATCTGGCCCTGAGCGCACATTTTAAGCAAGTATTCCTGTACACAGATTTTTCAAATTTCCTTACCTAGAATGCATGGATGAAGTCTGACAAAATTAAGGTATTTCAATTAATTTAACATATTTTCCTCTCCCCATATTCCATATTCTTCTTGCAGATAAGTCCTATACATTTTAAAAGAAAATAACAACCTATTTCTTGTTCTTAACACTAGAAATACAAATCTTTGCCTAGCTTTACGAGAACTCTGGTGACTGCAGAAGTAGCAAAGTGACAACAGCACCAGCCTCCTCATGGAATGACACGGAAACACGCATGGAAAAGACTCATTCAGAGAGTGTTTGTATCTTGTTTCTGCTGGCCTTTTAAATTAAAAGCTGAGAAAAGAAAAAAACCCATTAAAGAATTAACACCTCATTCACTACAAAAATTTGTAACCAAAATATTAAGACTAGTATGAATTAAGTAGGCGTGGAAATATCTGGTATTCCAAAAATAACACGCCCTGATAACCAAAGACAGGATCCACAGGAACCAAGCTGGTAAACACTGTGCAATGCGTTGCTTGGATCTCAAGAGGACCCATAATGAGATAAGGCCACAGCAAAGATAAGTGTGCTCTGATAACAGGACAAGATCACTGCATCACATGTGCCACTCCTCTTATTTTATCCCAACCGGAAGACAGATTGTAGCATAAAGATTCCCAGAAGGACGGCGCAAAGACACTTTTCAGCAACCTCACCCAAGATTTATGGCAGCTGAAGTAAGCACGATTCTGAACTGTTTCATTTTTAGAGAACAGTTTTCTAGATTCCCTCTAACAACCAGTTTGTCATCGCTTGTCAAGAAGCAGCCACGAGATGAAGCAAGGACTCAACACACAAAGTGATCCTGGCCCTACCACTGGGATGCATGCACCTTGGTCACTATATGTGGCTGTGAGAGTGTGAGCAAGTGAAATCTGTGAGAGTGGAAGATATCAGTTTTGTTTAATACCACCTTCCCCTCCAAGCACCAAGCTTCGTTGCACTTCCTACACCACTAATTACAGTGAGAGCACTCGAGATAGTTACAAATCTCTAAAGATTCTCCAGCAAAAATTAGGGAGAGCAAGGCTCAACACCTGTATGTTACAAAAAAAAAAATTTTCCTCTGTTTAGACAGTTTAGCGACTGACCCTTACTACCCACTTCTTCCAGAAGAACAAGGTTGGTTGTATTAAGTCAGAACAATCATATAAGCCAAACTTTTAAAGAACACTTTGAGTTATCTTTAAAAATAAATTGGTAAAATAAAAAACATAATTCCTTAGAGTATGTTTGAAAAATGATTAATGGATGTTACACTCAGATTCTCTCTAGGTCTTTTAAAAGGCAACCATTTCTAAGAAAAGGGCTGTAAAAGTGTTAACTGAAATATTTTTATAAAACTCAGAAACAATAAGCTGATCTACTGCTAATAGCAAATGGGGGCATACTTAGTCTTTTTTTCCTCCATTAAGTAATGCATAGAACAAATGAAGGAAAGTCTAACATCCTGAATTTGTAGTGAGAGTCTGACTTTTGAACGACTATTTTGGCATGAAAGGACATGCTTGTGTGAGTCCTCACTTCCTGAATTCTCCTGTGGGATTAACTGTTGCCTACACCACAACTTCATGCTTACACAAGTCTGAATTATCTTTCTTACACATTTGCTAAATAGTTTTTGCCACACTTCTCATAATGCAGTGCTATCTTTTCTCTATAGTGAAGACTTTGTCTCCTTTGCAGCTCAAGAAAATATAGATGTTAGGACACCTGCTCTTAACAATCAATGCTGATCTACTGGAAAAAGTAGGAAATCTGAGTAATTCATAATGCTTTATATGGGTTTTTTTGAGGCCTTGATTACTGCTGTACTGTACTTAGATAAATATTCAAATAGAAGTGTATAATTCAAATCTCTGAAGTGGCAGAATGTGCCATTAACCACAGGGAGGACCCAGGAAGGCAGGTATTTTAGGTTTTCACATTTACTTGACCAACAACCTCTATCATCATAAGCTTCCTTTCATCCTACAGGCAATTAAGTGTCACAATTACTGTTGAACAAATACAGCTGGAGCTAATGAATCATTTTGGTGAACGTGTAGAACTCCCCCTCAAAAAAGCTTACAAAACACTTCTAGGCCGATTACTCACACAGATAGGAATCTTTTAATTAAATCTGTTCAAACTGTAACTACAAAGATATCGGTTTCTATGTTTAACAGGTTTGCCTTACAAGATTCATCAACCCCTTGCAGTCTCACAGCAAATTTAACAGCAGATGTGGCTGATGGTTTATTTTTATGACCTCAAGTGTTTCACGAGACAGGTTCCTGCAATTCCCTGTAAAATTTAATTTGTATTAAATCATTCCACCAAGCTTTGAGATAAGGATTTATTTCCAAATACTCACTTTGGTGATGGTCTTTAAAATGGCAAGTCGATCTTCAGGTGGTGGCAAACCCACATAGAGTGTCTTATCCAGTCTACCAGGACGCAGGATAGCTGGGTCAATTATATCTTAGGGAGGGGAAAAATTAAAAAAAAAAAAAAAAAAGAAAAATCCAGAAATGAGATACACCCTTAGGAAAGTGTGCACATGAAAAGGAATATATGCATACTTGTACCAAGATTCAAAGAAGTATTTGTACCATGATGTGAAACTCTGAGCATTGAAATAGCTGATTGAAATAGTTTCATCTCTGTCAAGTAGGAGCCTCCATTACGTAGTACAGTTAAGCTGCATCTGCTCAAAGATACCAGTTTCATCTCTTCACAAGTGAAGACAACTCTATCTTTGACAATACAGTACTAGAACATTTTTAGTGTCACATCTAGCAGTCAAGTGAGGAACTCCACACTAATTCGTAACAAGAGAAAAAAATGCTTCCAGTTTGTTCTGTTGGAAGGAACTCCACCTGTATTAACTGCTGCAAGTCTGCTCAAAAGGCATAGTGATAAATTAAGAATAACAAGTACACAGGGCCAATCATAAGCACCCACATAAACTTTATTTTACTGGTCATTTGCATTTCTATTACATATTAATTTTCTGAATGGTAAAAAAGAAAACCCATGAAAACACAAAACAGAGCTGCAAGAATTTGTTTCCCAGGAAGAACTACAGACTCCAAATTTTATTATGTGTGGAGAAGTAAGACACCAAAAATCATCACAAATGTTTCTAGAAAACCATTCAAAGCCTAAATGTAATAGAAATGTCCAGCAGCCTTTCAGCACCACGGGCTTCAATACTGAACTTCCACAAACAGTAAATAAGGATATAAATGCCAATGACTATTGGTATAGTAAGAGATACAAAAGGGCATATAACCTGGGAAAGACCTCAATTCCTGTCTGCATTTCAAAACAAACTGCCTGGATGATGTTTCTAAATGCTTCTTGATACCACATTTCCTCATCTACCAAAAACAATGACAGTATTACTTGCTCTCTTTCACTACGGAATTCTATTGAGTCACCATACCTGGAGGTATCCAAAAGAGGTGCACACGTGGCACTTTGGGACATGGTTTAGTAGTGGACTTGGCAGTGTTAGGTTAACAGTTGGACTCGATGATCTTAAAGGTCGTTTCCAACCTAAACGATTCTATGATATCCTACATGCTACAGTAATGTGAACAGCAAAGTCACAAAAGCACCCACAGAAGATATAAAGAAAACTGTGCTTTTAGTGTAACAGACTTTTTTGAAGCCTTTACGTTGTATAGGTGTGTTGGTAGCTATTGCAAGAACCTTCTCAACTAACATTTGAAAGTTACACCTTTAAGCTGGAAACTCGCAAGGACTCCAAATGAAGCTGTCAACACCCTTACAATCATTACATCCTCTTGACAAAATGCAGCTAACAGACAAACTGCATGCATTCATGTATATTAAAGCTGAAGAACTGGGAAAAGTTAAGCTGTTAGTCCTTACTGTACAGGTGTTTAAAAGAAAAAACACAAAAACCAAACCAAACCAAAACCCCATGACCCAAATCCCAAAACAGTAGCATGGAAGCATAGCTATCCCCCCCCCCTTTTTTTTTTTTTCAAATGAAAAGAGTTTGCTTAACTCTGACAATACTCCAACCACCTGATCCTACCACAACGTAGTCTTGATCACTTTTTAAAGATGTGCATAGTTTTGTTCAAGTTACTCTCTCACCTATGCTTAAAGGACAAAAAGTAGAATGAGATACATACATTAAAAATTGCTCTGCTGTCTTTTTCTTGACAAAAGTATTTTTTTTTCCACAAAGCAGCAGTCATGGCCAGAGGCATCTATGTAGGCAAAAATCAGCTACTGCAAATGCGATGAGAATGGTGAGAAAAAAAGGAAGAACTTGATGTACTGATGTAATCCAGACCAGATGAAACAAGGGTTAAACAGAATCCCTGCCATGGCAGACCCAAACAAAAACATCTCTCTTACAAGTCTGTGCACAGTGCTATATGATACTTTATCTTGCTTTTGGCACAAGTGCGCTTTCCCTTATTTTTGTCTCTGTGGATGGGAGTGTTGCAACATTATTACGATGCAATGACAAAGTTCACTCAATAGATCAATTACAAACATCAAAACAAATACTCTCAACAGGGATTGTCTAACAACGCCATGCACTTGGTAACTTCCCCATCTGAAAGTTTCAAAAGCTCATTAAAAATATTAAGCTTGATATAGAAAATAGTTTCCATTTTGCATGCTGAGAACATGGCACTCACTACACCATTTGTCCAACAATACGAAGTTGGCGATACGGTCTAAAGATGCATTCATCCATTTGTATGTAAATGATTACATTGCCCACATTCAAAGCATTACCACAACTCATACTAACTCTGTAAACTGCAGTAATGGTGGGTTACAATGAAAAGACCCTACTGAAGTTTAAAACACAGATCTACACTCCCCATCTCCTTGTGAGTCAATTCACTTCACTCTGCTGGTTCAGACCTGGGTCTGAAGCTCTTCAAAATTCAAGTCACATAACACAGAAAATCAGTATTTACTCATTGGTCAGACTCACTCCTTAGATGCACTTCACGTCTGTTTAAAGCACTGACTAATTCTCCTCTTTTAGGAATTTCAGAGCACTCCATCCTAATAAATCATAATGTTCTCTCCATATCTATTATCTTGAAACTTATCTACACAGAAAAGAGTCAACTAATTTTAGATACATTTGACATTTTAATGAAATTAAGGTAGTTACTGTAGATACCTCTTTCAAAGCCTATTACTATCAGCTTTGAAAGTGAAACATGGAAACACGGTAATACACATCACTCCTCTTCCAAGCAGTTGTCTCGGAGAAAATATATCTCTACTAAGAGAAACGTCTAGTTAATAATTTTCTGTCTTGGTTTTCTGATGTAGTCAATGATGTTGACTATGTTGTTAGAAGACAGCAGTAGCATTTTCCAAATAATTTGGCAAAATTACATAAGACTACATTTAGAGTACATCAATTCCTTCCTTTGTTCTTAAAGGTTAAAACAGGCACTAGCCTCTAGAGAATTATGCAATATTTCAGTTTGCTACACTGCTCTCCAAACTGCTGCAAAATTTATCCTCTTCACTAAATTCTACTGAAAGTACCTTAGCATTAATCCCTGTAATGTGCCATTCTATTATCCTATAATAAAATCTGTTAGTCTCAGATTCATTTCCAGTTGATTATTCATGTCTGCCCTGGTTTCGGCTGGGATAGTGTTAATTTTCCTCCCAGCAGCTGCAGTGTTTTGGATTTAGTACCAGAAGAATGTTGATAACACTGATGTCCTCAGCTGTTGCTATGAAATCAAATATTTTTTCCAGTTTCTCCTATTCAGCTGATGAGCAGGGGTGCAGGAGCTGGGAGGGAGCACAGCCAGGCAGGCAGCTCAAGCTGGCCAGTGGAAATACTCCATACCACAGACGTCATGCTCAGTTTATGAACAGCGGCTGGCCAGGGAGCAAGAATCCTTTTCTTTTATCCTCTGTTTTCCATGAGTTCAAACTTTTCCATGAGTTCGGTCTTTTTTCAGTGAGTATGGCGAGTTCTGCGAAATTTATGAGTTTGTGAAAATCTGCCAAATTCCTGAGCTCTGGGAAACCCACAGGTTCCACAATCACTGCTCAGGGACTGGCTACACAATTGGTCATCGAGCAGTGAGAAAAAACTGTATTGTGTATAGCTTGTTTTGCATATTCATTACTATTATTGTTAGTATTAGTATTTCCTTTGTTGTCTTATTAAACTGTCTTTTATCTCAACCCACGAGTTTTACCTGTTGTCCATTTCTCCTCTCCAACCCGCTGCAGGGGAAGGGGACAGGTGAGCAAGTGGCTGTCTGGTGCTTGGTTGCTGGCTGCCAGGTTAAACCACAACAATGTCTTATCTCAACTGTACAAGAGTCAACAATGTTTACGAAAGTTTAGTGCATACCAGCAACAATGACTATTGTACTGAGTCCATCAAACTTCTCCTATACTCACTACAGCTTTAAAATTATATTTCAAGTATACAAGATCTAGGTCCTCACATTCGTAACGTTCTGGAATGTAGGCTTCAGAAGCCCTATAAGGTTTTCTGAGACAGCAGATGAATGCTGCAGTTAACAGCTTTTGCTCCTCGCAACAAACAAACTCCACTAAAATTACTGTGAAATATACATAACATTCAAGGGCTGAATGCAGAAATATAATCTGTGTGAATTAGAACTATCATGAAACAAATTGTTCCATGCCTCGCATATTAGGTGTTTTTCTTAGATCTTATCTTGCCTTTAATTCAGCAACAGGTATAAACACAACAAACAAAAAACCCAAACCAAAACTGTAACTATTGTCAGAGACTGAAGATTATTTTTTTACTGTGTTCCAAAACATGTGGTTCGGGTGAACAGCTCTAGAAAACTAATACAGACTTCCTAATTAGAACTCACTGAAACTAGGACCATGCTCTAAGATAACAGCAGAAGGTGAATTCTGCAAGAATTAATTTTAAAAAGCAGAGAAAAAGACCAGCAAAGACATCACCACAGTTTACATCAAGCTTAAACACCATCAGTTTGTAGTGTTTCACTGATTTCTTGTCTGTTTCCTCTGGTTACATACAGTTCCTTAGATCCCATGGTAAATGCTGCTGATGCCTTGGTCAGCATTTCTCTAAAGAGTTTATACAAAGCCTGGGGAAGTAAGAAAAGAACAGAAAGCAGCAGTATCCAATACTGAAACTCACACTGGTAACTAGAAAACTGGGGGAAATTAGAGACCTTAGTTAACAGTGGCGCTTGATGTTTTTCTAAGTATTTAGCCTCGGATTTGGCAAAGGAAGTAGACTGAAAAAAAAAATTATTATTCTGACCCATAAAGTTTCTAACAGGACATGACAGTTCTGCCTCTTTTCTTTTTTCTCTCTCTCTCTTTTTAATGACATTGAGTGCATTAAAAGTTTAATACTCTTCAGACAAAGTTTGCTATTGGTTCTGCATTTAGGTGGTAAAAGATTGAGTTGGGAATACTGCATCCCTGCTAATTTAGCAGTAGTCAAGAAAGATCCACAGAGGACTTTCAAAGTCACTAAGTGCAAAAAAAACATTCAAATACCCTGCTTTTAAGGACAGATTAAAGGCTTATTTCAGCACTGCCAGAATAAGAATTACCACTTGCAGATTGTATATGATAAACAAAGGAACCAATCTATTGTGCCTGTCCTTTTGGCAAAATGGGAATTAGAGTGTTCCAAGTCCTTAAAGGCTATTATAAAAAAAGAATTTGTCAGTCTTCAGACATGGGGTCTATAAGACACCACCATTTCACAGTAATACCTTGTCCCAGATGCTAACACCTCACTGGAACAACCACGCCAGAAACATACCTTGATGCCAAAACTGGTTGAGTCACTGCTACCCTACTGCTAGTACTATTATTCTTTATAATAATACTATTTTTATGAGAGAAGACTCTTCTTTTGGCACGATGGTCTCCGAGACCACAATGCCGACAACATACACTAAAAACAACTATAAAAGCTACCATGCATGCAACCACTCTAATAAAAGAAGTATTTTACAAAGCCATTTTCTATCCTATTAAATTACACTAACATGGACTAAAGATGAGATCTCACACTTCATAATACCGACCCAGTGGAAGATTTCAAGAAGTTCTTCTGGGACATGTATATTATTTAGATTTATATTACACAACCATCCCAGCACCTATATTCAACATAACTATGACATAAAAATCTTTCACACAAGTGTCAGACTTACAAGCAAAAGACTTTTTCAGGCACCACAACTTTTATTGCTTGCAGGAATCATTTCAACATACGAGCCAGTATAAGCTACAGTTCTCCTACAGGTCTCTGCCTTGCTTGCTCAGGGGAGCAAGAGTGCTTTACTAGCATAGACTTCACTGATCCCTACCTGCAGCGTGCTCCTATTAAGTACCCAGACCACACTAGCAAAATTTAATTTGGTGAACACTGCCGCCTCCTAAGCCCCATAAACAGTGAATAAACTACACAACAGAAAAAGCAGTTTCCCCAATTTAACCACAACTTCAGTAAAAGTTGTTCTGATAAAAGCCGCATCAATTGGAAACTATATTTCTTCACACTGACAAATGCAGATATCACAGCAGAAGTTTGTAGTCTAAACCTACCCAAGTATTACTAGTAAACACAGCTGATATCCTTGTGAAGCAAGAGATCCATCCTATCCAAACTGCACAGATAATTGCCACCTCTCACAAAAGTTGGATGTGTCAAGCTTCGCTGTTCAGAAAAAATTATTTTATCATGTTTGCAGAACTACTCCTTTATCAAGATACAATCCATTTGCACTTACAGAATTTGCAGATAACATTTATACCCTTCAATTTGATGATTATATTTGTTACCCCTGCCTTTGCGTTTTCTTCATGTTTGGCATTTTTACCTCAAATTAATTTTTTTAATCAACGTTACTGGCCAGTAATACACCCCTGAGTTTATGCCTTACAAATTTCCCAGCTTCCCTCAAATATTAGTTCAACGCTCATTACTCAGGAAAATTTTGTAATTTTAACTATTCTGGTACAGTAGAACAGTACATCTCCCACTGCAGCTGAACAAGGCAACAGTGACTTTTTAAAACTGAACAAAACCAAATCCCCAAACCATTACAGAGGTACTTTATACCAACTTAACAGTAAAACCGCATCCAGTATAAGGCTTATAAAGGGATGGACTAACAACTGCACAGATGTCTGTTCCATATATGCATGAAAATAAGACCCGTAAGCAAAAACTGAATCAGTGTAAATCCAAACCCAGCAAAGCTGGGAATTAGGACAAACCTGCCACACACAAGTATTTGTATCTTGAAATTAACACCTGAGCCACATTTACTCTAAGCTGGCCCTTGTAAAGCTGCTGAACTACCTGCACTCAGATGCCTCTACGAGAGGTGCCCTTAGCTCAGAACAGTGCCATGCTCACACTGTAACATGAACGCGCAACAGATTAATTGATCAGAAAAGGTTTGGATTTGAGGAGACACTGTAATTTTAAATATAGAACCATGCTAGTTATAGAATTACAATATGTAAGAACACATGATTTCATCAGAAGAGAAGCAAGGATGTCTGATTTCTCCCGTTTATGATTTCTGGGTCCTTACCTGGCCTGTTTGTGGCAGCCATAATGAAAACTTGCTGACGATTCTCCAGACCATCCATCTCTGTGAGTAACTGGTTAACAACTCGGACACTGGCTCCTGACTTTAAAAGCATAAATTTGTCAACAAAATTGAGGAAACAGGGGGGATGTGACTATTCCAAAGTAAAAGAAACAAAAGATCTACTAGCTCCTCACCCTGAAACACTGCTCAAAGAAAAAGTTTCTTTTCCACGCTTTTAATGTAGTTGCATTCTGGATTTCTACTATCATAGTCTCAGCTCATTTCCACCCCAAATATATGCTACTTATATACCCACCACACATTTTCACACATGGCAAACCTTTTCTTTCCCTTTAAAATCACAGACTCACTTAAGGAAGTACATATAGATATTTATACTAATAATTCTCCTGTCTATCTCAACAAGAAGACCCAAAACTCCTCAATATTCAGGTTCTGGGGGGCAGGGGGTTCTCCAAATATTTAAATCTGAAGTAATACCTTCAGCAGCTCAGCTAATCATAGTTAAATGTTAAGTCCATAGTACTGACATCCTATAACAAAACTCAATTGCTTAATCTGAATGTCATTCTAGAGTTGGGGAGACAGAGACGGAAAGCACAGCAGCTGGAGAACAAGAGTTCAATTACGCAGTAAAACTGCTCAATGATTTTGAAGAAAGTTGTTCTAAGTGTTACTGTTTTTTTATTAAACACACAAAAATATAAATCCACCTATGGATAATTAGAGTATGTGGTAAAAATGCACACAGGTCTCAAAAAGCCAATGGAAACACCAAACACCCCTGAGTTTCACTTATGAATCTCAAGGACTGTCGGCAGTATCACAGCCCGAGTAATACAGTCACCAGTCTCCTGCCCAGACAGTACCTCTACATGGTTAAATGAGGCTGTGAAGAGCCGGGGTGGGCTTCTAGGCACCAAGCTGCTGCCTGCTGCTGACGCCACAGAAATGAAATACAGTGAGACCAAAGCACACTTGTTGCCCTTCCTCGGCTTAAAATCTATGCCTGATGTGGTGTCTAGTACTGGGCACCTTCTTTTATGGGTCTGTGGAAACCACCATCTCAGGGCACTCAAGAAGTCAAGTCTGAACTTTTCAGCTTGGCTATCTCTCATAGGAAGTGAAGTATGCAAATACAGATGACAAGGTACGATTCAGAAACAGCTGATGAGACTTCCTTTCTCCCATAGACTGGAACTACAGTCTTTCTGTTAAAGTCATCGATGGCAATATCTGAACAGTACTGTACTTAACTTGTCTGTTAAAAAAAAACAGTGCAGCTTTCCTTTCAACACACTAACAGTTTGCTCTAAGAAAATAACTCCTCCAAAAGCAGAAGTTAATTCTGGGTGCAGGTAGTTCCTATTCCAAAACAAAAAAAATCAAGACAGAGACAACTTCACTACTGGAATAGCTCTGAAGTCTAATACATTCCACTTATGCTCCTGCCTCCCTCAAATATTTTCATGACTCAGTTCACATTGTTCAAATCAGTAACTGCTTCATGTGAGCATTACAGCTGCATGCAGGTATCAGGATTTGGACATAAATTAAACAGGGTATTAAACTGCACTCCATCTCCTCCTACGGCTCTACACAGCCAAGTTGGTGGATACACACACATTCTCTGGATATTTTCTGTATATACATAGATACTAAAAAATGTGTTTAGCTTTATGAAATTTGATCAACATATTTTTCCTCAAATATGAGAAAGACTCTCAGATTGGAGATATTGAACGTAGTACCCTTCCAGGTACTTCTGTTGCTAGCACAATGCCACAAAAGCTGCAACTGAGGTAATTTATTTAGGGAGATATTTTAAGATGGACTCACTTCACGGTCAGACCTCCGAGGACACAAAGCATCAACTTCATCAAAAAATATAACACAAGGGGCTGAATTCCTGGCACGCTGGAATACCTGACGTACAGCACGTTCACTTTCACCAACATACTAAAACAAACCACAGTGAAACAATGTAAGGCATGAAGATTTTGGCTGGAAAAAAAAATAATCACAGGGTTTTAAACACTGTTTTAGGTGCTTTGCAAGGGAGAAGTGCAACCTGCTAACCAGTTTACTTCTGGTAACAGTCTGTTATCTCGATTTCTTTAACAATCAAGATTTACAGGGGAACTAGTTATCACTAGCTCACTTCTGACAGTTTACAGTACATTCAAAGTCTAATAGAATTCCTACTTTCTGGGGAAGAAATCTAACTTGCCATCATTCTGATAATCAGAATTAACAAATACAATCTTCATTAAGGACCTTGTCATTCTTCAACTATTCATAAACAAACCCAGTGAGCAACCTGAACACAATGAAGATCTCAAGTCATTGCCTGAAGACAGGGAGGTTAGTGGTAGGGAACTGAAACGCAAGCAAGAATTTCACTTTGAATGGAGAATTGCATGGGTCGGGGTTGCCAAGTCGTAAATGCAAACACTTCATTTTTTTGCAGACAAACACATTTTGATACAATTTATGTCTTAACACAGTCTCTGAATCACAGCCAGACATTTTCTCTTTATTCCACAAGGAAGTGGAGCTCCTCATTAACTTAAGAGTTGTATTTCCTGCCTGTATCAGTACTTGAAGCACACATTAAAAAATGTTTGGGAAAAGAATAATTAAATCCAGTATTTTGGTTTTAGCTTCCACATTATTGGTAAGCAGATAACTGCCACGGTCTTCCCAGATGTGGGCTGCAGCTGTCTTACTCAGTTCAATACATTCTCTTAACTCTAAAAGGGACCGAAGTTGTATCACAACATTCTAAGTCCAGTGTTTAAAAACTGGACTTAGACTGTAACTCTGATTACAGCACTTTTATCTGTTAACATTTAAAATCTTTAAAAATCACTTTGAGAACTAAAAAACCACATTGCTTTCCAAGATTTCAAACTTCCATTAAGAAGATAAAATGACCGGCAAAACACATTTCCGAACTTCAAAGTTGAAATTTTTATTTTGCTTAGTGAAAGTTGCTGATTTGCAGTTACTGATCACCAACTGTTCTCATTGTTGATTTGAATTTCTGTTCTTTTTCCTGATCTACATAACAACAATGATGCATGCAGTTGGTCAGTTAGAAATCCTGCTTCAGTTAAGTAGGCTCCATCTGCCAGGTAATTTCAATCAAGGTACACACATACTTAAACTACTCAGATAGCTTTTTACTTTTCACATGCTAAAAACTTTGAGCCATGGTTAAATAAGGCAACTTCTGTGGCACTAGTATCAGCTGTGTAATTATCAGGAATTTTGCTTGCCCCACACTTTCCACAAGAAACCCGTAAATAACAACAGCACAATGATTAGTGCATACCATATTAAGCAGTTCAGGACCTTTCACAGATATGAAGTTCAGTCCAGACTCATTTGCCACGGCCTATCAAAAAGGAAAAGACAGACATAAGTATAAACCAGCCATGTTTTCTTTGGTTCTGTCCTTGGAGCGATAAACAAACTTAAGGGAAGGAGCACAGCTGTCAACTGCTTGTAAACTACAGAAAACAGTACAAGGTATAATTACATGCAATTAAGAGTGGGAGGGGGGTGGGGAATTTAGCAAGGTGTTCTCTTTAATGAGGCAGTGTTCCAGATTCCCACCCCACCTCCCTCACAATCTCAGTGATTAGTCAGAGTTAAAGATTTTGATAATCTTAATTCTTAATCAATTGAATCCATCTTAATTCAACTACATAAGAGCATTTGAAGACAAAGATGAGTGACAATCTGGAAACTTGCATGATTATCTGTATTTACATGGGGAGCCTATGAGAACTGAAATGCTCAAGGAGAAGGAAAACAGAAGTATTTTCAGTAAGGTAAATATAACAAAATTACATAAATATAATAGAGCATAGACTACTTCCAAATATATAATATAGTTACAGTGAAATATTCCATAGAAGTAGCTATTTAATAGTTTCTTCCGATCTTGCTACTTTCTTCTTAACCAACTTCACTCCTTCAAGTTTTGCAGTAATTCCCTCTCAATTCAAGCAAATGGTAACTTTAGGACAAGAAAATCAAGCAATTTTCACACTGAGGCCCAAATTTAATTTTCTTCTGAGAAGCGGTGCAAAAGCCCAATTTCTGGCAGTGTCACCCAGACTCAGTCATTCTTGCAGAAACACCCACTTCAAGAATATTCTCCGGTATTTTTAAACACGTTCAGAAAACGTATTACCTTAGCCAACAGTGTTTTGCCACATCCAGGAGGCCCCGCAAGCAGGACACCAGCTGGAGTAGTCAGGCCCAGAGCTTTAAACTGCTCTGGGTTTCGCACAGGTGCCTGTAACAGGAATTATCATAGTTATCTGTGACAAAAAGCCAACATGAAATTTTTCATTTCAGTTACAGTTGGATGAAAAAATCATTCATAAACAAGTTCGTTATTCCAATTCTTTATGGGCTAAAAGAATAAACAGTCAGTCAGTCTTGCACTGACAAGTACCCCAGAGTGGGAGAAGTACTATTATTGAGAGGCAAAGATTTTATTTACTTAAGTTCTCATCTTAAGGTGTGTTATGTATCTCTCTGACCGGCAGTGAGACAGTTAACCTTCCAGCTATGTAGTCTCCAATTCTTTGTGTGGCAGTTGTGTAACTAAGGTTATTGGTACACAACTTTTAGAATACTTAAGATTCAGCAACAATAAACATACTGAAAACTGAAAGCATGAACACAGTAACTGAAATACTAAATACACACACCAGACTTGTAACAAATTTTAAAGCAAATTTATAAATATAAAATTTATAAATATAAATAAAATCAGACTATTTTAAATGAAGATGTTGCAACATTTCTAGTTTGTAGCGTGTCAGAACTCCTGGTCAGCACATAACACCTTAAATAAATATTAAAAACAAACAAGCATAGTTTTATTTCCTGAAGAGAAGCAAGTGCAAAAAAATCTCTGAAAGTAAGGTTAAGATGTACCAATATTGCCATAGTCAGCTCCTCCCGAACATCCTCCAGGGCTCCGATATCTGCCCATGTCACATCAGGAATTGTGACAAAGCCTTCTCTCTTGGCAGAGGGTTGCACTGACGCCAGTGCAACAACAAAATCATTCATCTCGATGCACAACTTGTGCAGCAGCTCCTCAGGCAAGGGGTCTTGCTTCTTCAGCAAATCTAAAAGTCTCTGCAATTCATCCTTAGAGGACACGAAAAGGGCGGGAAAAAGATTATGCATGGGATTAGATTTTAAGAACCTTTTTTTAAGGGGTTTTTCAAAGCAATACTTTCTTCAACTGTAATATTAATTCTTACAAAACAAATTATTATGTACAATACATATAAAATATGTAAAATAGCACATGTATTTTGTCTTCAAACTCTTCCTACTGCTTCTCTCACTATAATTAGGAGAAAGTTCTTTCCATGCTGACATTTCCAAAATATGTATTAGTTATACGTATTAATTCTGGTCTTAATACGAAATTGCTCTCAAGCTAAAGTGAACAACTCTGATGAACAGCACAATATTCAGTTACATATAAACATTTAAAACTCTTCACATACTTTTAGATTATACACATTTATTGAACATAATCTGATTTCAAGTCATCAACTCATTTCCTCAGGCTTGTTAGACCTGGTTTTGTAACCAGGCCCTGATAAAGTCTGGGCAAACAGAATAGAAATACAGGGTAATGCTATTCAACACTGTCCCGTCTTGCAGACCACAGCACCCCAGGGAGGTACGTTCCTGTTTCCCCAATCAATTCCTTACTGGGAAAGCTATCTGAGAAAATACATGATCTTTACACCTTCACAACATAAATACTGCCTTTCCGTATTAGAACTGCGATGTATGAAAGCAAATTGATACTGCACCACAAGTAAAACTATACCAGGATTTTCATTATAAGATAGAGGGAAGAAAAAAAAAAAATTGGAAACTCTTAAGTTTCCACATCTTTCCTACAGCAGTATACGGGAAAAGTATCACTTCCTATTTGTTGCAACTAAGATAGCTCTACAACTGACCCTGAAGAAATAGAAGTGTTTATAGTGCCCGATATTCCTTTTAAGCCCGGCCTCCTCTTCTTAACAGAGCCATTAAGAGAAACTCCGAAATAGCTGAGACCACTGGGTTTGTTTACTTGAATTGTGTGAATGATTTTTCACGGTTTTGTATGTTTATTTTTCCAATTATAAGCACAATATAACAGTTTTAAGGACAATACCCTGTATTAGACTATGTCAACCTCCTGCCAGCTATCAAAATATGGCTCTGTTAGGATTAGACTTCCTCATCCTCAATAACCCCTTTGATCATGGTGATGTTGATAAAAGCTGCAACTACCTGCCCCTCCCCACTTTCTTTTGGCTACATCAGGCCCCAGCAAACACTGGGAGGTATGCAATACAATTATGTTACTCTAATACAAAAGCTTACTACAGCTTTTTATGCTGGTTTTTTGTTTGTTTGTTTTTTAAATTACAATACCAGTTTTCTTTGACAGTCCTCCTAAAACCAGAATCTGAGTACAATGTGGGTTTAAAAATCACTTTGTTTTACTTCTCCAGATAAATCTTTAGAAAGCCTACACACAACGAAGGTGCACACACACTCCAAATTTTGAGAAGTAGGGCCAAGAATTTCTACACAAAGGTGTTCTGGTTCACTGAACACAGCATGTTACTTGGGCCACAGAATAATTCTGGTACTGGAAATGCTAATTTCTGCAACAGAGTTCCAGCCAGCTGTACTGCCCACTAACAGATATTTTCTCTGCAGCTTAAGTCACATTGCTAACCCCATTTCTATGCTACAGATACCACTTCTGCAAACTTGCTATATGTGCTAGAAACCACATGCGATTTACCCCAAGTAAACACATGGATGGAGGGAAAACATAGACTTCATAAATACTTCTACACCTTGGCTAACTGTAACTACACCAGGTCAGGGAATCGTAACAGGTATTTCACTGAGGGCATAGCAACAGCACAGCACACTGCTAACTCAGTGCAAGTCTGATATTCTTCAATTCTCTTACAGTCAATACACCTTTGAAGAGAAATATAGCCACTATTTTAACCTCTGGTCTGCTAGAAAACAAAACAACACAACACAAGCAACAACAACAATGAAAAACCCAAGGAAGAAAACATATCTTGTACAAAACATTAACATGATTTATTAGAAGGTGTGAGTTTTGGGAGCCACTTACTCAGACCTATTACATGGGTCATTAGGAATTGAGCTTGTGGCTTACAAGTTGATATTGCTAAATCTAAATTTAGTATTATGGTAGCCATAGGTGTTTAACGGTTTATAAGCAATGACTTTCACAACTATAAAATGGCTCGGTTCTTAGGATAGTAGAGGCACACGCTTCAAGGAACAAATACCTTAGGAGGAAGTTCTAGTTGTTTGGTTTCCTCTTCCACCAGGATGTCTGTTCCTATTCCCATGCTTTCAGCTGCATTTCCTCCAGTGTTTATGTGCTTCCTTTTCTGCTTGTCAGATTTTATCAGGACCCTGTTCACTGTGCATATAGCCGCCTCACGACAAAGTGCCATCAGATCAGCACCTACATAACCTGGAGTCAGATGTGCTAAATGACGAAAATCAAAGGACTCTGGGAGCTTAAGTTTTCGACACAAAGTCCGGAGGATTCTAATCATGTAGGAAGAAAAAGAACAACACCATAAAGATGAAGCTGTGGCTTTTTTTATTTTCATATGAAAACAAACAGCACTGATTTAAGGTCTCATTCAGTCCACATGAACTGAAGTAGTACAGTGGGAACAGTTTTCACTCAATTAGGAAGTAAACAACACTGAAACCCACAAAACTGCATTATATATATTTCCTTTCAGTTCTTAAATGAAAACCAACAGCATCTATCAGGTAATGTCAATCAGTGGGTAAAAGCTAGTTTTGGTGAATTTAAATATTATAGATTCTTTAAACCTTAGTTTATGATTCAAAATTGACAGAGTAGATCCCAGAGTGTACCACAGAGATGCATACAAGTTATCCGTTGAGATATTTAACTTTGTATTCCTAACAACCTTAGTCTGCATTGTCTGTCCCATCCCACTTTATTTATTGAAGAACATCCACAACTATTCTACAAGGAGCAAATGAAATCAGACTGTGTGAGGAGCTCTGTCTTAATCTTCAGTATCCTTTCTCTACCATTGTTGGTGGAATATAACTGTAGGTATTTCCTGTGTCCTCAGTAAAATTTCCAATAGGCAACACACAGCATACATGTACACCTCGTGTGTTCCCTCATCCTCACTCAGAATCTTGTTACACCTACCTATGCAGTTCCATCACTAATACAAAACAGCTCAATGTAACTGACAGTGAAGTGCTATGCTTCCTGCTTTTTTTTTTTCTAACGAGAGTTTTTTCACTCTGTATTAAAACCTCCTGCAAGGTCCACCAAGACTTCCTGCTATTCTTCTAAGCCAAGGACAACTACAAATTACATGAATAAAAAAAGACAAAAGTCAATGTCACTGCACAAATATTGGCGCTGAAGAACTCTGAGGAGAGGGATCAAATCAACTTGTTTAAAACAGCAAAACATCACTTCATTGGGAAAATATTTTAAAAAGGCAGCACAAACCAAACAAATGAAGATCATTAATATACTTTCTAGTTCCAATGAAAACTAGTTTAAATTATTTCCAGATCAAGTAATGTAACTACAGAAAAGTTATGAAAAGAATGAGTTATTAAACTAGCCAAAACTCTGAAATTACGTTTCATCTGCTTGCCTCCCCCACCAACAAGTTATATCACCTCTCATTTAAATCTTTATTAGTGATATTAGCTTGGTTCTCAAGACCTGTCTGACAACAGCTGTAGGTAATCAACTGGCTCAAAGTGTAAAAAGTTATGAACCGTAAATGGCTGGTTCCGAATTTGTGTCCTGTATATATTATTTTCCTTCACATGCTTCATACATCCACAAGAAAACACTGCAAGTAAAGCAAGATCTCCAGGCACACTTCCTCATCCTCCTCAACCTCCCTACAGCTGCAGATGCACAGCTAAGCAGTTCAAATCATGCCTTCAGCAAGACTGATCTATTATGTGGTAAATCAGCATACTGTAAGGACTTCTGTTTATATATGGCCCTTTTATTTTTTAAAACCACCCCAAAACAAAACAGAAAAGCGGGGAGGAGAGGGTAATTTAAAAAAAGAAAGTAAAATCAACAGTTCCTGTAAGCCTACACTTTCAGGAACACAAACACAAACAACTGTACAAAACAACAATATGAATGAATGTGACTACACTCTAACTTGTGAACAAACTCTACAGACTATGATGGCTTTCCCATTCACAACTCCTACCATTTGAAACAGTGCTATTTCTGGGAACACAGTATTTTTAACATGAACCCAAGAAATCTCATAGAACTCTCATCAGTCAACTCTTTAGCTCTACCTCTAACCACTTGTATGTTTTCCCACAACCAAGAGGAATATAATTACTACAGGGCTGTAGATTTAGAGAAAGGGAAGAAAACAAAAAAAAGTGTAGACATGGCCAGAAGGGGCCGGGCAGGAAGGTGGAATAATGGCCAGTGGTGCTGACAACACAAAGTGAGTAATACTGCAGGCAGAATACTTTGCTTTTTCAGCCTAGAAATAAGATTAGTTGAGCTAGAAGGAACTTATCCTTTAACCTTTCTTTCCTTCCTGTAACAAGATAAGCGACAGCTGTTTTCACACTTCTCTTCCTGTGTTTTCTGCTGTCGTGGAAATGAGTAGCAGTTCCTTTTTAATCTAAAAAGCAAAAAATTTTTTTTTTTTTTTTATCTAGTCTGATGGTCACAGATCTTTGGTGTAAAAGGGCCAGTTATAGAAGACAGGATGACTGCAGCTCAGCTTAATGCCTAGACTGGTGTATTCCTATGAGGAATGGAATGGAAGAATCTAGTCCTATTGCTTACGGTGCTTGAGAGGACTAACAAATGGGCTATACTTAATTTATGTTCCTAATAGTTACATATGGAACACCAAAGACAACAGAAAAAGATGTATTTAATTCCATTGTCTATACTGTTAAGGCACTTGAAAATCCATTAACATAATGCTAAAAGCAGGTCTGCACACAAGAGAGGAAACCACCCCAAATGCAGACACAGCTACCAAGACAGAGAGTAGATGCACACTTAATGTCTTCTGCATTTCTCAGTGTGTGCTGATCCCTAGGCATGTACAGGCATATATAAGACTAAACACAATAAAGTGCTTTTCCTTAATTTGTATATTTACACATTATTTCCTTATTTATTAATTAACCAAAACGAAGCTTAAACTTTATAACACATACTTTTCTCTTGCCGCTTCATCTGGGATCCCTAAACAAATTTCTCGATCAAATCTCCCAGCTCGCCTCAGTGCAGGGTCCAGCGAGTCAGGTCTGTTAGTTGCTCCAATAACAAGGACCTGGGTGGTGGCAGCCATGTTATTCAAGTCTAAAGGAAGGAAGGAAGGATGTTAGTACTCATACTTACCATCTCAACATTGTTCTGATATCTACATGACTCTGTTTCTGCAGCACACAATAATACTCAGAACAGCAGAGATAAACTAACAAACAGTCATACTAAACTGCTGTTCATCCTTATTCCTGCTACCTTGAATTTGCATTTTGCACAATCAAGCAAAAATAAGCATTTCAAAACAACATCTGACACATTTTCCCATTATATCTGTTTATACCTCAGACAGCCTTATGTAATGCTGTACAGACCACTGTGAAAATAATGTAGTAACATCCCCTAAAATTTATTAGAATCTTCCCATCAGAACCTAGGTAAACTGTGTCACAATATGAAAAATTATTACCACTATCTCCACTAAAGTCACTACTGAAGGAAAGCAGACAGTGAGCCTGATAATTAGAAAGTTTAGTTTAGTACAGGTGTTCCTGAAACTGACCATCCATACAAGTTAGGAACTGAGCAACAATTCTCCGCTCCATGTCCTTCGATGCAACTTCTCTTTTTGGGGTGATCGCATCAATCTCGTCAATGAAAAGGACACACGGTGCACTAGACTAGGAACAAGAAATATTAATAATTACAAAATCACACTGACATAGTGTATTACGAGAGAGAAGGAATTTTTTCAGATTTTCTGTTCTATAATTATTACTCTAAGTCTGCTGCACAATCGACCTGTCCCGGAACAATTCTGTTGTTCTTATTGACTACCTAGAGAGCCACCAGGCTATGAAACTGTGCTGAGGAGGCTACGAAACAATTAAGGCATGCGATTCAAAATGTTCCTATATATTGTTTAAATGTACCTCTATGTTGTTTTAATAAGTTTTCCATAAATATTCTATTGTGACTGCTCACTTTCTGAAGTCCAAAAAAGAAAGTCAGACAGGAAAGCTCTGATTTGGTTTTCTGTTTGTTTTGTTAATGACATTACAGCTGTGGAATTTCAAGATCTAGTACTGCTGACACACATAACGAAATAAAAGGAGCAGCAGGTGGTCACGAAAAATGATCTGCCAACTTCAAGACTACTACAGAGCCTTGACCATGCTCAAAGAGTAAAAATGAGCAATAAGCAACTCCTACAAGTGTTCTAAAATTCCATGTACTTCACATTCATAAAAAGCCAACACTAATACAGAATGGTAACTACTGTAACTAATACAATAGTGTTTAACTGACATAAGATTATTAATAGTCTCAAAAAGCACCAGTAGTGCAAAGGAATACTCACGGAAAACACTAGAATCATCTTCAAATAATACTAGAACCATATAAAAACCAGTAATACTTTAAAACCCATGCATTCTGTGTTATCAGGTAGCAAGTGCGCCACCTAGTGGTCATTCACGTTTCCACGATGATACAGGGAAAGACCACAACCAAGCTACAAAGATTCCACAGTACACGCATAATATACACGGAAGTATGTCTTTTGTCCCCTGCACAAAAATTGGTACAAAAGCTAAGTGGAAAAGCTACTTAAGTGAATGTGAGTGACAATAAAAAAAGGCCACAGATTTTAAACATATTTTATGCAATACATTTAATTTCTTCAAGAATAACTTTTATAGCAACCTCCCCATAACTGCTATAAATACAATAGATAACGCAATTTCTAAAACCTCTGTGCAATCACTTATTTAATTTTCTTCTATACAACATCTTAACAAGACTTTCTAAAAATTAAAATGTACTATCAACTGGAAACATAATAACCTAACAGCTTCCCAGTCAATCCTTTTGTCATGTTTAGCATCCTTTTATACAGGAAAGTACTTTAAACACCTATATATAGTTGTGGTGGAGAGCAGTAAAACGGAATAAAGTTGAACAAGCAGAACATTCTCAAAGGTCAGGAACAGAAAACTGTCCTCATGAAATAAAATATTAGCGACATACTAAAAAAACAAGCATTTGGATTTGTTTAAATTAAAGTCATCTCAACCCGTCTGGTTCTCTTTGCTTCTTACCAAGTCTGGAAGTCGCACCAAAGCAAGACTTCAACTGTAACTTGACTCCTGCTTTTATGATATTTGTCCAAAATTTCTCACTTTGTACCTAAACCCCCAAAGTCTCAAGTCCCTCATTCACTCCAATTCCATGACAGACAAAAACATCAAAAAAAAAAAAACTTGTAAGAAAAAAGCACAGTAAACTGCTCTTACATATTTTTTATATGTCAAGCTAAGCAGCTCCAAATAGGTAAATAATTTATGTTGCTCCTTTTGCATTGATATGATGAACTATCTTTTGTCAAGATTTCAGAATAGTAATCTTTGTGCTCTATGACAGCATGACAGTACAATGGTATTCTGGTCACAGAAGGGGAGACACTATGACTTGTGTGCAGCAGTATAAAGAATCACTCACTAATATTCACTCAAATTCAAACCACAGCAACAACGTATGAATCTTTACAAAGAAAGGGGAAAACAATTCACAGTGTTATTTCCAACGGGTGTCTCACCACAGCCTGCTCAAACAATTCTCTCAGTTTCTGCTCAGATTCCCCTGACACTCCAGACACCATCTCCGTTGCTGCCACTTTCAGCATTGGGAGCTCAAGCTCCTGAAAGAGACAAAGAATGTTGTATGATATATCCAGAGGTTAGAAATGTTGGCTGTCCTAAGGGACAATACTTTCCAATACGACATCTTCTACACTCAAAGATTATATAATCAAGGCTAAATCTTAAAGAGCTCTTAAAAAATATGAGTAACATTCTCCAATTTAAAATGGGTCTGAGCCATTTGGCCAAATGAAGAGAAATGGATACAAAATCCAGGTTTCCCTAATTCAGTTAGAGAATGACTTGCATTGTCAAATAGATTTGCACCTTGGTCCTCAACCCAATCCTTTACAACGCATATACTGCAGTCCATGCTTGGGCTTCCTTCTGGAGAAAATTGTCTATTTCCATCTGCAACAAAACATTACTTCGCAGTGTGGAAGAGATCCCTACCAGGTTTGGTTCCCTTAGCCTTGCTCCAGAAACACCTGAGCATGACTGTACAACACAATACTTCTAAAGCTCACACTCAAGGTTTTCTGCTATTAAAAATAAGTAAGTAAAATTGTAACTTTGATAGACAGTAGCACATTAGTGCTACAGGTAGTTGCAGCCCATTTCAAGCTCTTTCAAACTACATATAAAAAAAGCCTAATTCATACAAATCACAGCCAGCAGAGGCGCTAAATGGGGCCTGGAGGAAGTATTTTGCCTTGAATAACTACTAAGAATATCTTATTTAAGAAAATGATTTAAGAAGTAGTCACTCCATTTATCTCATCTCTGAAAATTTTTCACTTGTGTCACGTTTCTTCCCGTAAATTTGACATACAGTGTCTGAAGGGTCTAATCAACATTGAAGTAATAAACCTCAGTATTTTCCTCCAAAGATAAAAGCTGTACTAAAAAAAGCTTGTAATTTACACGTATCTAAATTTAAAGTGACATCTAAGGAACAACTGCACTAAAGACAAAAAAATGTCTGTGGTTATCACTGAATAGCCCTAAATAGCCCTGATTTATATCCAAGACAGGCATAGCGTAGCACAGTAACCCCATCACACACCAAGCTATCAATAATGTCATATGCACTGAAATGATTAGTTTGACATATGCAGAGCAACAACCAATTCTGGAATTCAGAAATCACTGTTTAACTTACGCCACCCAACAGAATCAATATAATGCCTCATAAAAGATGGTAAGGTTGAGTCCAGACTTCAAACAAAACACTATGGTAAATTTAACAAAAAGTATCTTCCATTTATAGCCTTCTCAATACCCATGCCTATATTGCTGTCTTGGGAATGCCTCAAAATAATTAAGTCAAACATAAAACACTGTCACTATGTCCCCTCTTCATATGAGGTTCTATCAAGTACAGATTCAAGATAACCGAAATTTAAACAAAGGAAGTGAAAATGAATATATTTTAGACTAAGACAAGAAGGAGAGAGAAGTGATGAAAAAGGAGAAAAAGATCTAGTATGTCATGAAGGAGGATTATTTTGTTTCTCTAAATATAATTCAGAAACAGAAGAAACTGTAGATGTAAAGCTATCTCACCCCAGCGATTGCCTGTGCAAGTAGTGTCTTTCCACATCCTGGTGGTCCGTGTAAAAGAAAGCCACGAGGTGGAACCACACCTAAGTGGTTATAGACTTCGGGATGACGGACATGAATGAGCATCTTGCATATTTCCTGATTAGGACAAGATAGACCTCCATTTAAATCTAAGAAATTAGTATTATAGATTTCTACTATTATAGACAGGCCAAAATAAAAGTAAGTTCTGTTTATTAATATAATTTCAGTGACCGCTTTCAGAAACATTAGTCAAAGAAAAAAAAAACCACAAAACTTCACTGCTGTTGGTATAAGCAGCTATTCTCAGTGCCACACAGATTAACTCTGCCAGATTTCTTGTCTGTCGTTTTTCATGAGACATTTTATTCAGAGCATTCCATGTCTCACCATTAAAATTTCAACTAACCTTTAAAGTTTCATCATTGCCTCCTACATCCTCAAACTTCAATGAAGGGTGGTAAAGCTCTGGTCCCTTATTTCTAACTGTTAAGGAGGAAAAGTCATGCAAATTTAGACATGGCATCATAGTAGTTGCTAACACCAAACAAGAAAGAACTCAGCCTAAACAATTAGCTAAGTACACGGAGTAGTATTATTTTTTGGTAGTAGACACAGGACTGGAATATTTTTAGTACAACATTAAGGCTAAATTTCTTAACAAGACACTTAACAAGACTTAACAGGTCACTACTTTGCAACTCAGTGTGAAACACTTCTCTGGTGACAGGGTTCCACAGTCAAATACCATCTCTTTGATTGGAGCAACACACCAAAAATAGCTTCTCACCTTTCCCTTTAAGTAAGACGGCATCAATTTCTCCATCTACATCTGGAAATTCTTCTTTTTTTCTTTTTGCTTTCTTACCCTTTGTCTTCTTTCTTTCACTCTCCAAGACAGAAAATTCTGTTGATTTCTAGGGCATAAATCCAGAATTATACACACAAAACTTTCCAAGTCAGTGAATTTCTGCAATATTTAAAAGAACAAAATGTGCAACTGTCTATGATGCTTAACTTACACATATTATGTCAATAAAGAGAAGCAAGGCAGGAATTTAACCCCTTCGTTTTGTAAAAAATCCTGTTTTCACTCAGGATTTGCCTTTTTAAAAAAGGCAAATTTTTAATTACACCAGTCCCTTATTTGCTAGGAGTACATACTTATAAGCATAAAACCCCCAAACAACTCCCCTCTCCAAACCCCCAAACCACTAACCAAAATCAGACAACAGTTATTTGCATGCCATAGCGCAATCCACTTTGGCGACGACTAAAAACTGTATGAATGTATTTACTCCAGTGGAAACAATTTTTATTAAGTCATGAGTGGCTGTAAGAAAATACTATTCCATGCTGACACAAATTAACTGCATGTAAGAAAAGGACTAATACAGGAGAAAAAGAAATAAAAAGAGGTTCAATGATGAGCGTTGGTTTTTTTGTTTGTTGGTTGGTTTTTTTTATTACAGTATTGCAAACATTTTACTATTTGAAGATCTCCCTTTTTACTCTCTCTATATATATACTCTTTTTCTCTATATAAGAGGATGCAGTACCACTAGGATAAAGGGATTACTTGTCAAATCTGCCTATTCAGTAAGCATTTTGTATAATTAGAAAGGTAGATGTAAATGATTTATAAGCAATATACATTTTTATAAAATTTTATCCTTTCAGTTGGTGTTATGAGGACACGTATTCAAAGTCTGAATAACAGACAAGTTCTGCAATCCTTTAAAGTCCCTTTTTAAAATGCACCAGAAAGTTTGTATGTTTTCTAATTTCGCCTTGAATTTTATGAGTTGTCATAAGATGCAACATAAAGTATTTTTACTGGATATTGAATCTGTTGTATTTGAATATTTAATTCCTAAAACATTATTTTGATTTCCTGTAAATATGCTAAGCTCAGCAAAATGCAGTGTTACTCATTAGAATGCTGAGTTTTATAGGATGTCTGCTTGGTATGCGAGGTGACTTATATTGCTACTTAGGCTTACATTTAATAAACCTTAGCTAGGAAAATTGTTTCAATTTCAAAGAAAAGATAATAAATAAAATGAGGGCATAGAATATTAATGTGAACTGTGCCTTTATTTTGTTAAAGCATTCAAAGTTAAATAGTGGTGGTCTGTTAACAATCTAGGGCTATTTGGCAAGTCTTTAAACTTGCTCAGTAATCAAAACATAAAAGGACAATGGAAACTTTTCACAATAAAAGAAAGAGGAGTTGAGTACAGAAACCAAACAAATTATTCTCTGCTTTTTCTTGGTAAGGAGGTGAACTTTATAGGAAGGGCGGCAAGCTCTGGGTTAGGGTTGCCTTTTCCTGTCTTTGTTAGAAATTACATCTGTCTGTGAAGAATCCTCTCCAGTTACTTCGTGGTTCATGGCTACGGGGGAGGTGTGCGTGTCTATCTGGAATGGAGCAGAGAAAGACAGACTAGGGGGGAGCCTTCTTTTATTTTTCCTGGGATTTTTTTCATTTAGGAAATGGCAATTCTTCACGTTAATTTGCCTTGCTTACTAAATATACAGCTGGATAAAGTTCCTAAGATCCCAGCTGTGTAAATAGAATATTAACAAAACAACTGTTTTCTTCATCGTTCGTATTATCACAGAATCACAGAATCACAGAATAGTAGGGGTTGGAAGGGACCTCTGTGGGTCATCTAGTCCAACCCCCCAAATGTAGTTCTTACGTGATATAAAAAAAAAGCATCCTGCCAAAACATCTTGTTGGCCAAACATCATAAATGTTTTCTCCCATACATAAATGGAAAGCTTTCAATAGGTTAGGTAAACATGGTTATTTTTTTCTAAATAAGAAAAAAATAAAGGAGGGGGGAAACGGGCATCACAAAGTGGGCAATACATGTGGGTGGGGAGTAGGACCTATTTTTAACTGCTTTGTAAATCAACGCAATTTCCTTTCAGCTTCCCAAACTCTTGCCCAGCCAAAAAAATTCAGCTTTCCCCAGGCTCACTAAGACTTAAGCACTGTCTAAGCCAGACCAGATGCTACAGCTATAGCAAACGACACGGTTCCTGACTAGTTAGGCTGGTCACTCGCAAATGGAATAAAAAACAGCTAAGTTCCACTTATTTATTGCGCAGCACAGGCAGTAATCTGGGTCTCCCTAATACTGAGCACTACATTTTCCTCAAAAAATGTGCAGGAAATCTGTAATTTTGCGACTTTTACATCCCATACAAACATGCTTGAAATGGGCCAGAAGGTTTAAAAATCACTTCTGACACAGCAGAACAACAGGCCAAGCCCCTGCTTCTTCAGAAGCCAAGCTAAAAAACAAGTACTCCACTGGACTTAAGACAATCTTTCCTTTCTATTTAACATGTTCACTATCTTTAAACACAGTATGCATGTTTGTAATAAAAATAATGTATTTTAAAAATCCAGAAAGACAGACAGTCCTTTTGGTCTTAATAACACCCTTCAAAAGCCTGTCAAATTACACAGAAACTTACACTGTACTTACACTTAACTTGCTACTTAAAATCACATTGGGTTTGTAAAATACAATACCTCAGAAATCAGTTTCTTTTCATCTCCTTCTCCACCCTCAGAAAAGTCAGTGAAGAAGTCTCTTCCACACGGAGTTTTATCAGTGAACCAGCCACCTTCAGAGACGCATGTTTCGACTCTTGTTCCTGGTGAGACAGTGCTTGTTTGAGGTGGGGGTGTTTGCATAGGATGAGGCGTTTCCATTGGTTCATGTTTTGGAGTGGTTGGAACAGAATCGGGATTTCCTTTCTTGTATAAGCTCAGCAGGGAACTGTTCATGTGATTTGCAGACTGCAGATTCATGTATTTTAAAAAAAAATATACAGGTTATAACTCACATTACTTATATTAAGAGGCAAATGAAAATTATTTCATAAACACTATTTAGCATTATCCCTGCTGGAGAAATTTGTCACGCATCTTCCAACCCACTCCTCTGCAAATCAAATGACTGCGTACAAAACTACATCCGCTGGTTGACGAGGCAGCAGCCTTTGCAATTTACCCTGAAATGCCCCCTGTTAATTGCCCGCCACTTCTTTTAGTAATAGTCAGATGTGTCAGTTCTTTCAATCATTTCATTTATTTGATAGTCAAGTCTTTCAGACCCCCAGTGTGCTTTCCTCAAAAGTGACTCCCGTCCACAGATTCTTCCCTTTTCTTCAGAAAATAGCCTCCTTTTACCTCTACAGATTCTCAGCTGGAACTGCCAACTTAACTATACCTAATCTTCACATTCACTTTTAAACTCTCTATGTGCATTGCAATTTCACAACATAGAATCACATGTGTTCTGTAAATGCAAACAATCATAATAAAATACAACTTACTAGATCTTCTGGATAATCATCATAATCAGAGACATCTGTGGCACTTTCTGCAGTCCTTTACATGGAAGGAAGACAAAAACTATCAACGCAGAACTGCAAGTGGGACCCTCACAAAACAAAACAGATGCAACTTCCACAACATGGTTACATGATACCTAACCTAAGACTGGAAAAAAACCTCCTGACTAGCATGCTCTAAATTTACTACTATGAAAAGATAAAAACCACATCCTTTCCAAGACTTTAATGAGTTGGACCAACTTGGCAACCTGGCTGAAAGACAATCCTAAAAACAAGTGACTTAAGATCAATCCGATTCAGTTCACCAAGAGATCACACAATCACCAGTGCTGGCACAAGGGAAGTGGTAGCAAATCACTGCTGAACTAGACTAGTCCTTCTGCTTACAATATCCTGATCTCCCATGAGACCTTTCATATCTGTCACGGGTTAGAGAAACCAGAATGGTCCATGAGACTACGCACGAGGTTAGGAGTTAGGAAATCTTAATTCCAATCTCATACCCAGTGGTGATTTACTCTGAATAGCCTGTCTTGTAGTCTTCTCTCTCAGATTTAGCTAGTATCCCTAATGCTCAAGAATGATTAAGAACAAAGTAAAACAAAGGAACTGAATCACATATGGACTGGGGCCTTACGTGGAATACTACCAAGGAGGGCCCAAGCATATCTACTAATTCAGGGCTGTATGTTCCTCATAACAGAGAAATCATGATTGGCTCTAGCATCTGCTTGTCTTCAGTGAAAAAAGTGCTTCCATTAACCACAAGTAACTTGTGATGAAGACAAGCCTATAGAAAATCAAGGATCTATCTGTAACCTTGAAACTGGCAAAATTTAATAATACAAAGACAGAAAACTTTAAAGAAATACTAAATAGTAATGGCATTATCAAAGTAATCTAATGGTAAAAATTCTTCTTACTCATTTTTCTCCTGTTGTCTTGCTCTTTTTGCCACATGTTCAGCTTCTAGAACTGCTAAATCTTCGCGTTCTTTTTCATTACTGATTATTCCAAATACTGAAATAAAAAGTTCCAAACATGTTAAGAAAACAGCTGAAGCATAATCAAAGAATTTGGCATCTTGGACATAACATTACCTTTTCCAACTTGTATTCTAAAAGCATTTCTTTTTCTTCGTCCATACTCTGCACTGAAAAAAAACAAAATAAACAGGTTATACCAACTGCTTTCCCCCTCAACATACTGTTATTGTCAGTGGAAAAAATACATGGTAATTTGATATTCCAGCTTCTAAACAAGTTCTTATTAAAACCAACTATGTGAAAATGTGATTGTTTTTTCTTAAGCCTGAAATAGCTGAATCACTGGGATGAAACAAAAGCACTGAACTGTAGTAGTCTCTAAAGGGATGTTTAGTAAAAATTATCAAGGTTCTCTTTAACTGTAGACATAGAGAAGCAGCAATGTACAAATGTACACACTGGATTCTATTTCACAACACCACCGATTTTTTCATTTTAATTCAAAAAAAACATACGGATGCAGGACTATGGTCTAGAAAGGACAGTCCAGCAAGGAATAACTGTGATAACTAATAGTGGCCACTATGAGAAATTTTGATTCAATGAGCATCCTTCAATGCAAACAAAAATTATCAATGTTTATCTTCACTTACTGAGGTTATGTTTTACTTATTTGTTTTTATACAATTGCTGACAAAGGAAAACAAAACAAAAACCCAAGACCCATAAGCATCCTAAGCAAAGGTTTTGGCTCCCTGTCTCTAACAAGGCCCAAATAAATAGAACATGCAAACACAAATTAATATACTTCTCCACCTTCTTTAACACCAACACCCACCAATGATCTGCTGAAACACAACCTTGCACCCCACCTAGAAAAGCGTAACAGCCTAAAAATAATTAGACAAGACTGACTGTCCTGATGAGCAACAAGATTTAATTTCTTAACTGAATCCCATATCTCACCCATCTGCCTGCACTAAAGTGTTATTTTCCCTCATATTTTAAGCTTGCCGGGGTAAGGACTAACATGCTGTAAGGCACCTGTAGCTGTTGTTTCAATAAAAAGAAAAAAAAAAAGAAAAGCAATCCACAAAAAACAAACCACATCTAGATCTTGAAATGCCAATGTATTAATAAAATATAAGTTACTAGATATATCAGCAAAGGAAAACACTGGAGTGGCAATGATCTTATTGTTTCAATCAACCTCAACAAATGGTAATTAAGTTAATATAAAGAAAATTAAAATTTTGATTAAAAATATACAAATGCAAAATAGCACGATAATATGTTCCATATTTTGAATGTAGAATATAAGAATATTTACTCACCTGTATGTTTTCTGCAAATCAGATGCTAGAATTCCAATGTCAACATACTGGCCACATTTACTACTTGCAAGATACTGAAATGAAGAATTTTAAGCAGCAAATATAATCCTTGTCAATCTTTTCATCAGAACAGATAGTTCTAATACGCCTATTTCAAACTCTACCCTTCTTAGAAGTCAAACTGAAAATCAGAAACAGCTTTGAACTGCCTTAGAACACACTAAACAGTACATCCCAATGAATTATTTATTAAGACCCAGCTAACTAGCTAGCTACATTTCCTGGCAAAAGCAGCATACTGTATTTTGGTGCTCTGGAGACTTCTGCTGGCGCAGCTCCATTGCCTTCATTTAGTAAGAAAGACGACTTTGTAACACACACACCATCTTATTATCAATCCTTCTTCAGCTCTTGGTTTCTGTCAGTTAACCTCCTTTTGTTTTAGATCTCCTACCTTAAAAATGAAACAACCTACATCAATTAGTCTGGATACTGTCATAGTAAGAACTTCAATCTTGGCAAGATGTTTCAAAGAATAGTAAAGCACATAAATGAAAGTGAAATCTATCGAGCCCTTTTGATAGATTTTCTGACCTGCAGAAAATATCAAGCCTACCATAAATCCACCCGGTTCTTTCCTTTCAGAATAGTCAAGACACAGTCACTGTGATCTGGTGCAGGAAAACAAACAAGCTCCCACTTCTACACAGAAAAATGGTGTTTAATTTGCAAAGTGACCATAAATACCCGTGAGACAGCACACAGCACCAGCCACTTGAAGGAACCACCGCTTTCCTTGCTCTTCGCACGTGGATTACGCAAGGAATCGGATTTTTTCCTTCCCTTTCAGTCATTTAACATAATCTATGTACATGTATCGAAATGTAAACGCTTACAATTCGCCTACAGCTACCCAGAGTTTGTTTTGTGCTTTTTTTACTATTGATTTCACACTTGAAATATCAGCCACTTTCAAGACCAGAAGTACTGAAGAGGATGGAAGAAAGAAGCAAAACGAAACGAAAGAAAATGAAGGGGAAAAAAAAAGGACCTTTTTAAAGCTGTTTTTTTTAAAGACCTGAGCGACAAGGCCGGGTTTCGGCGCTCGCTGCCGTTCCCCCCCGCACCCGAGCGGGTCGGCTGC